GATCCAGGGACGTGACGACGCCGGCGTGGCACGTCGGCAAAGACGGACAGCTTGGAGCCCTTCTCCTCTGCCAGGCTACATCTCTCTCAAACTGGCCGAACCTGTCTGGGAGTTCTCTGCTCGGGGAGGATGTTTTGGTATCAGTGCGAGGGAACTAAGGTGTTTTTGTTGTGTGGTGAAATCTCGGAATCCTTCAAGTTTCCTTTTAAATGTCCCTCATCGTTATCTCTGCTTTTCTCCAGATTTATAAAACTGGAAGAATGCTCTATCAGTGAATACTGAAAGCCTTCCCATTTCTTGTTTTTTCTAGAAAAGTTTTTGTCCCTGTCCTGGGCAGCAGAACAGGACTGCTGCTGCAGTCTGAAATAACAGAATCTGATACAGGATATAATCCTATGTAATCAGAGCCTAATACCAGAAGTGTTAGTTTGCTAGTGTTGCAATGCTAGTGGTGTAATGGGGGTGGGGAAAAATATCCAAGATGCACCCCCTTTTCTTTCTTTTCTGTTCTCCAAGGGTGGTGTTGGTACAACTGCTCTTCTGCACCTCAGGTTGAGCTTTTCAGATGGAGAGAATAAGCGCATGCTGTGGCCCTCCCTTGGAAGTGTTCAGCCTTTGATGGCTAGATGCGCTTCTGCAGTGTCGTGCAAAGAGTAGTATCTGGACCTGAGGGCCTGTGATCTCCTAAAAAAAAAAATGCGTCGCTCCAAAAAAAAAAATAGGACCTGAAGATACTTTTGAAATATGTCACAGTAGCAGTTTTCCTCCAAGTGGAGAAACCTCCTTAGAGTTGGTGTTCCCGTCCTGTGAAGAGCTTTTCATCTTTAGATAGAGCTCAGAGATTCCTGAAGCATCAGGAGAGGCAGCCTGTCGTGAGATGCTTTCTGCACCTTTTCCACGGCAGCATATTTAAGCGAGAAAGGTGATTTGTGGTTGTGTTTAGGGGGGAAGGGAGGGTGCCTGTGCAGAACATTCTGGAAGTCATTTAAGTAGGAGACAGGCGCTGAGTGCCAGCAATGTTGATGATCCAGCTGGACAAGAAATGCGAAGCAATGACTAAGCCCTGAAACTGCAGTTCCAGAGGCCACCCAGCCAGGGCAAGACTGACTGTTGACTGATCAGTAGCTTGTTGTACAATTACTTACAGTTTGTAATTTCTATTAAAGCAGCAGACTGTCATCTGTCAGTTCATTTTCCTACTGGCTGCACAATCTAGTTTGTGCTTTGGCCAGTTTTGTCTTATCATTGCCATTTCCCATGATCTTGAACTGTTCGAGCAAAGTGCTTTCTGAAGGGTGCCTCTTGAAACTGCTTTGCTTCAAAGGGATTAGTGTGTAGCAAAAGGGACCTCCTGCACTGGTCCTTGTGCAATGCCGGTTATGGACTGTATCACTGGTATGAGTAATGGAGCTGCATGTCTTCAGCAACAATGAGCGCATCTGTTTTGTTCAGTTATAAGCTGTAGATTAAGGTATGGAATAGTCTGCTGTAGTTTTTGAGTCCTGCTTTGGGATGACATCAAGCAACATATACTGAAAAATGTCTATTATTATATCTTATATCCTGGCTTGAAACCAAAGCCTTCAAGGCAACTTCACTTCTACTAGAAAGTGTGACCGATTTAATATAAAAACCACTCACCACATCATTTGTACCTAATGGTACAATCAAAAGCTACAGCTTTTCGTTTTCAGTCATGGATAACCAGATTTGAATGTCTACGGTATTTTAACTTGTTCAGTAATGGCATTTTTTTAGAAGCTGCTAATTAAACCCTTTTATCGCAGTCCAGGTCTTTTGCATCAGCTTTGAATCGGTTCATATAGACCTGAACGAGTGATCAGTTTGAGAATACTGTGATCGGTCAGGTAAGGCCACCTGTGGTCAATCGAGAGCTACAGAATGTTGCTTGTGTTTTCATCTCCTATGGTTTCTACACCTCTTCCTCAGTCAGCACATCGCCTGCTTCAGCGGTGGAAATTAAACTGCTCCTGGTGTTTACAAACTGAGCCAAGGTGCGTGCAGCCTCGTGCTTCTCCAGGACCAGAGTCCACTTCAGCTGGTTGGCTGTAAAGCATGGAGGTCACGTATGCAAGTGAACAGGGGGAGCTCGCGATCTGACATGACAGCTCCCAGGTCATCACATTACGCGAGGGTGAAATGCCCTCCCCATGTGTCACAGGTGCTGTGTTGCAATAGCACAGGAGGCCTCTCCACCCTTCCTCATTCCACAGCCCTGTTTTGCATTCCTCCCAGCTGCCTCTTTAGGACAGAGGTTTTGCTAGAGCCCAGGCAGACGCCTGAGAGACGTAGCAGAGAGGAGCACCTGCCGGGAGAATCTGGTCCTCGCCAGCCACTCGTCGGGTCTGGGTATAGTGTTTGTTACACACGGGGGTCTGGCTGGCCCTCCGCCAACATGGACTAGTTGTTGAAAGGGTGAGTGGGATGCGAGAATCGAAGTTGAAGGTGTAATGAATCCACTTGGCGTGGTTTTTAAGATCGGACTTGTTCATCCGTCACTTGTCTTCCTTATTACAGTGTGACGGGCTTCTCTGTCTCTGGAATAAATGGGGATTGGGAAATAACCCACAATAGACAATTGTGGACTGTGGATGATTGAAAATATCTTTGATAACTGCCTTGGTCACTGTTGCAGAGTAAGAGCAAGGAGTATTGGGTCAACTGTTTGCAAAGTGAACGCTAAAAGGTCTTGATCACATGGAGGAAAATAGTTTTACTGTTTACGTGCATGGTGAATGAATCTATCCCAGTGTGCTCTTTTTTTTATTTTTGTAATTTGCCATGCTTGTTGTATCTAAATGGGGAATCTTCAAGAATTTCCATGTTTTTTTTTTTGCCCTGTGTCCTCTCTCCCTGCTGGGGCTGGGCAGTTGCAGTGGATGTCCCTTGACTTTCTTCAAGGGCTTAGTCCTTGACCAGCAGCCACACCAGGCAAATCTCCTCGTGCTCTGTCCTTGGGGACTTAAAAGCAAGGATCTGCGTGCAGTCATGTAGCTGCATTTCTTGAAGGTGTCCTTTGTCCCTTCTCAACTATTGTAAAGTGCCTTGGCTAAAAACCCTTGCTAACTGACCGGGGGTTTTGGAACTAGAGTGATGAGTTGAGATGCTGTTGGAGGGGAGGGATCAGTCACCCACAGCAAATGTGACGGGAAAACAGAGCGCCGATCAGCCTTGACAGAGGAAGAGCTCTCGGAAACTGCAGACTTTAGTTCCATGCTGCCATGCTTCAGCTTAGCCTGGTATTGCAACGGGCCTTGAGATGTGCTGGGAACCGGACCCGGCTGCTCTGGGTGCATTCGATCCACGGGTCGAGCAGGAATGCATGTCTTGCAGGACCTCCTCTTGCAAATTCCCAGCTCGGAAAAGGCCCTTCTGTCCATATCCGGAGTGTGTGGTGCTACCTGAAGCCCACTGCTGTCCCTGCTCCTCTACTATAATTTGAATGTTGTAAGAGATGTTTCTGATTTAATAGTGCTAAGTGATTTTGTTTTGTTTTCTGCAGTAACCTGGCTGTTTCACTGCAATGCTATAGCTGCGATAGCAGAAGCGTGGTGTGGCATCTTCTGTGCGATTTGACTCCTCTGCAGACGGGTGGACAGACGGTCGGCGATGAATTCCCTGGAAAAGTCCCCCTCAGCCTGGCACAAGCCTGGGCACTCCCGCAGCAGCAGCACGGCCTCCTCCAGGCACACCCGGCAGGTGAGTGCCTGGGCAGGCGAGGGGCGCGTCTTTGCTCCCGGGATCCTGCATGCCTTGCTCCCGGTTTGCTGTTTTTTTAAGTGCATTGCTTGCTCTAGTGGTGTGTGTGCCAGTATGGGAAGATAAAAGTTTGCCCGAGATCTGTGCATCTTGGGATCCAATTCGTGTTCGTAGGAGGATGTTGGTATTGCAGGCCAGGCTCTAGCATTGCAAAAGGCTTCTTGGCACAGAATCTGTGCAGCAAGTGGAGATTTTAGCATTACAGGGTGAGCAGGTGCTGCAGCCAATGATTACATAAACCACACTTTCCCCTCTTCCAATGTGCAAGTGTCGTGTCCTGTACCCATGTGCCGCCAGAGTGCTAACGGAGCAGACAGTCGAGCACGGGTCAAAATAAAGACTGAGCTGGTGACGGAGGTGAGGAAGAGATGAGCCGCACCGCTCCTGGACAGGCTAGAGGAGGCTTGGGGCCTGAGCTCTTGACCTTTGGCCTGAGCGCATGGGCGCGCATGCTTGGTCTGCCCATTGCGGAATTAACCGTTGTGTTTCCAGCCCAGCTGTCCCATTGCACAGCCAGAGAAGTGAACCGAGAGCACTTTCTCAGGTCAAGAGGCTCCACTGCTGTAGCTAACACAGGATATACAGTAGGCTTTTCCAACAGGGAAAATCATTTCTGCAGTTTCCTTTAAAACGGGTGTTTTTCTGCTGGACTCGTGGCGCGGAAAGGTGAAGAGGCAGTGTCCTTCTCCTGGGTTATCGACTGTCTTGTCCTGCGCTCGCGTGCAGAACTCCAGGGACTGGGAGGTGATGGAGGACATCCACAACGAGGACAGCGGGGTGAGGACGGTGCGGGACGTGGCGCAGCCTGGCAATTATGAGGGGTACCTGATGAAGAAGAGGAAGTGGCCCCTGAACGGCTGGCACAAGGTGGGCACCGCACTGCGTGTTCTCGGCGATGAGTCGCGTTTCCGAGAACCTGCCGGTTTCTTACCACGGTATCGAACACTCGCATAGTCGAAGCTCTAGCTTTTCTGTTGAGAATCTGTGTTCTTGACTGTTAGGCCATGAAGACGCCTTAATGTCACTACTCCAGTCTCCACCAGCAGCTGGTGCACTAGCCAACAGATCTCATCTTAATGCGGGGGGGGGTTACGCAGGAAATAGCACATCTCGGCTTTCCCTCATGACCAATAACCTGGAGACGGTGACATTCATCTTCACTAAAGTCATGTTTAAATGCAGCACAACATTGCCACAATGATGCAGTTTCTAATGCTCAGTGTTGCTTCTTTCAGAGGTACTTTGTTCTGGATAGAGGGATTCTGAAATACGCCAAGTCCGAGCAAGATGTAAGTACCCTGGTGCCCGTTCTGTGGGGTCTATAGGGCGACTGGTTGGCCTGCTCTCTAATACGTTGCGTTATTACTACCATGGAACATTAAAGACACCCTCCGTCCCCCTTCCTAGATTATAAAGGGCAAGATCCACGGTTCTATCGATGTCAGTCTGGCAGTCATGTCCATCAACAAGAAGTCCAAACGCATTGATCTGGACGCAGGATACAGCTTGTATCACATGAAGGTACCTCCTCGGTTTCACTCCTGGGACTTCTATTTTTTTTCATTCTAGTTCCTGTCCCGTTTTGCTTACCCTTCTTGGGGAAATCTTCCTTTCTCATATGTGCCAAAACTTCCTGGTCGGTGGCTTCTGCATTCCAAGGCCGAGGGTTTTTGTCAGCGGAACGGGCGCAGACGTGGGAAGAATGCGCCAGTCACTCTGAGCCTCTGTTCTATTAATAGTCATTTTGGGCCCGATGGGCAAGATTCCTCAGCAGGTACAACCGGTTTCGGTCACACTGCGAGCTCTGTAACCCTCTGTACCGTCTCTGGCACACTTTGCATCCTTACTGGGTGTAGACTGAAGGGGTCCGTGAGTATGATAAACCTAACCCCTCCCCTCCCATCCCACGTTGGCTACAGAGATTAATAACTGGATTGGCAGAGGAGAATCTTTTGGATTGTGGAGGAATTGAGTCTGAGACTTGACTCGTCCTTCCATACTGAGCCCTGCCAGTCATGGTATACAAACCCACCTGGTGTGGATGTCACTCGTCTGCGTCAGGCCCTGCATGATGCAGGCCAGACTGGCGATTTGGTTCCATTTTGTGCCTCTTGGTTTTTTTTTTGTACTGCAGCTCTGTTCTCTCTGCATCTAGTGTCTGTATTATAACTTGGAAAGACTGATTTTCGGTGAGAGTGGGTATCCTTGGGCAATCTCCTGCCAAGAGAGGAGACTTGCTAGACAAACCAAAAGCACTGGCTACCACGTGCTACCAACCGGCTTGCTCTCCCCTCCCCACCAGGCCAAGAGGCCCGAGGTCTTCTACATCTGGGTGACCAAGCTGTGTGCGCACCGTGTCTTCAAGAAGAACGAGGCGGTGCGTCTCCACGCGGACGTCCTCGCCGCGCTCTCGAACGGCAACGCGCCCCTGCCCAGCATGGCTAGCCTGGCACAGAGCAATGGAAGTGTCCCAGGCAGGGTGAGTCTATCAGGGGGCACAGACCGGCCTGCCTCTTGGACCACACGCTACATTCTAGTGCTAGACAGTCAGGTTTCATGCAATACAGACTTGGTTCTAGTCCAGGCAAGATTGGTACCAAAAATGGTGTAGAGTTATTAAAGTTGTTGAGGTGAGGAGACGGTTCTCTTCCTCCATTTCTTCAGATTACCCCTTGTCCGACCTGTTCTTGTTTTTATTTTTTCGAGCATTTAAAGCGAGCTGCAAGCCCTTGTTACAAATCGAGCCTGGTGAAAATGCCGACAATGCCCTGTACTCCCCTGCCTGCGCTTCCAATGTCTTGTCCTCTCTTCTGTAGCCACTCCACCCTCAGTACCAGGCCCACGCGGCACGGATCCAGCAGGGGGTGAATTCTGTGCCCCCTGGCGTGGACTTGAAAGTCAGCACCTGGCTGCAGCAGGCTCAGGACCCTGAATGCTGCTCTCAAGGTATGGTATGGGTTGATTCATGCCTGTTTAATCCAAAGCTAAGACCACCTGAGACTACAGGGATGTCCATGTTGTAGACTGGGTCACACGGTGACCAAGCAGTCAGTGATGGTTTTCCTGATCCATTCATTTCCTGGGCTTTTGGAGCCGATGGCAAAATCAAACCCTTATTTGTTCATCCTGACGTGTGTGTGTGTAAAGGAATGAAACGCTGTTTAGTCTCGGGCTTTAACTTGATTTCATATGCACATGTCTTCTATTGCATGAGGTTTGTAACCTGATCCCAGGCCTGTCTTCCTGAATGATGAGTGATTTGGTCCTGGGTGCTCCTCACAGCCCAGGCTGTTGCTGGGCAGACTGCACCTCTGTTAAAAAAAAAAAACAAATTGCCAGTCTGGCTCTAAATTCTGGCGTTTTGTCCTCAGAGCTGGCCCAGTGTCAGGCGGACCTTGCACAGCTGAGCCAGCTGATCCAGAAGCTGGAGTCCCTGCCACAGTCCCAGCCCATCTTTGAAAACAATCACCGCACAGCTGGCAGCCAGGTGAGCTCCAGGGGGGAGTTGCAATAGAATAGTCGCGCATCTCAAATAATATGGGAGTGGGTTTTCATCAGCTGCATATAGTGTTAAACATCCCAGATTTATTTGAGCGTTCCTTAATTCCCCGAGGGAGTGTGGAACAAACTGTCCTGTTGTTGAGCCAGTTTCCCTGGCTTCTTTCAGGAAACGGCCGGATGAGATCCTTGGATCAGTTAGCTCCTGCCTACAAAATGGGCAAGAAGGGCTGACAGATTTCAAACGAGATGGTGCCATTCTTGAGACTGACCCTCTGTTTTATTCCTTAACAGTACAACACGCTGGAGAAGGTCAGGAAAAAATCCACCAAGATCTTGGGAAATTCCCGAAGCCTTTCCAGAGTGGAAGCCCTGAACATGGTGAGACACAGTAAGGCGTGTGGTTCTTCTTCAGCTGCTTCCACAAAGTCCTGGGGAATAGGTCACATTTGCCCAGAGACGTCTCGTCAAGATTCAGGTATTGATGACCTGACAGACGAGCTCAGAAACCTCTCTATAAAAAGAGTAACGCACGGCGTTCCATCTCTTTTTCTCTCTGTACAGGGCTTGGAACGTGCTGCTCTGTTGGGGGTTGTACTGTGGTCCCTCACTCTCTCTGCTCTTTCCTTTCCCACAGTATCCCAGTGACCGTCTCAATGCCTCGGTGCCCAGCATTCCAGACTTCGTCCGCTCCCAGGCCCCTGCCTCTCTTCCCTACCCCCAGAGCACCAAGCTCCAGCGGGAGGTCTGCGCCCTCTCCTATCGAGGTAAGGGGATCAAGGCCGGCCGATGCCCACTGGACCATGTGGGTTGAGAGCTGGGTGCTCTATTTGGGCCCCACGCTGAACGTGACTGGCTGTGTGTCACTGAGATCAGGTTGTAGAGGATTAGTCCATCTTAGCTGTGGTTGAGGTATCCATACAATTGATAAGTTGTCTACCAGGACACTGCCTGGGTGCCAACAGGTCTTCAGTGACCTCAAGGAGGGATCAGCTCTCCTTTTAGTGTCTTCTGTGCTGTTTGCACAGTTGGTGTAATCTACCCTTTTTCTTATTTATCTATATGTTAACTCTTATAAAAGCTGCTGGTTTGTATTTGCGAAGAGATCCGAGAGCCACTGCTCTCCAGGCCCTTCTTACTGCAAATTCTGTCCTACTTTTTTTTGTTTTACGACCTGCAAAGTTTAAAAGTGCCTTCAGTTTCCGCCCCAGAGGTGGACGAAGGGGGCGTCAGTGACCCTCTCTCTCTGTCCTCCAGTCCACGCCTCCCTGAAGAACATCTTTGGGATGTTGAGCGTGGAGCGCGAGAGGCTGCAACAGGCCTGGACCGGCCCGGATCTCCACCAGTCCACCTCTGCCCAGCTGGCCACGCTGTGCACCACGCTGTCCGAGGTGAGAGGCGTGCCTGAGTGTTTTACCCACTGTGTTTTTATCGGGCCCCTGGAGTCCCTGTGACTCGCGATTCAAGGCAAAGGGCAAATTTCACAGGGCACTGCACTGCAACATGCCAGGCTGTGGGGAGGCAAGAGCATAAAGAGGGGTGCAGTAGCTATGCCCTGGCAGTTGTTACTGTGAGAAAGGGGGTTATGACGGAGTGGGTGGAATTCAGTCAGTTGACAAATGATCCAGGGGTAGAGGAGTTTATTGCCATATGTACATTGGAGATCTTATTCACGCCAATCTCTCAGGACATGCACAGTACAGCAGACAATACCACACAAAGTAGACAGTACATTACAAAATGGTATATATTTAATGGTAATGACCAGAACAATATATGTTGTAGAGAACAATAACATAACACAACATCACTTGATTAGCCCTATCCAATTTTTTGCATTAGGAATTTCTTTTCGCAGACCCCAGCTTGCTCTCCATGAGACACACAGACAGGGAGAGAAGCTGGGGGTCAGAGTGCAGGGTCAGCCATTGTACAGCGCCCCTGGAGCAGTTGGGGTTAAGGGCCTTGCTCAGGGGCCCAACGGAGAAGGATTCCTCTGCTGGCTGCGGGATTTGAACCGGCAACCTTCCAGCCACAGGCGCAGATCCTGAGCCACAGAGCCACCGCTCCGGCCCTAGTAAATGTAGAAGTGGGGGGGGAAACACGGGAGTGCAGAGGTGCACTGAGTTCCGAGGCATTGCAGTTAGCCGTTTATGATATGCGCTACCATAGGTTAGAAGCTTTCCTTAATCATAGTGGTCTGTGCCTTAATGGTGTGGTCCCGTTTGCTTGAGTGCAGGGGGGGGGTCCAATGACCATCTCGAGCTGCTTTCCCAAGAAGCCCTGCAAAATCCTCACCTGTAGTAAAGAGATTCTCCCCTTTTCTGTCCTGAATGCACGGACGAGCCTGGTCTCACCCTAGCAGCCTTTGGGGGATTACAAGGTGTTGGGTTTGAATGTAGGCTCTTTTTGGGGGGACCACGGTCCTGAAAAGGCTCACAGCATGATAAAAGCCCATAATTGTTTCTTAAAGCTGATAAAATTCACATTCACAACCAAATTAGGATAGAAGAGGCAGCAGTAAAGGTAATAGGCTCACCATGGAGTACAGTTAGGGCTCTGGTCTTGTGACTCAAGGGTGAGGAATAGTACCATAGGACCTTACTCAAAGGAACTGCACACTCGGCTTGCTCCAGTGAGATTTCCTTTTGTATAAAGGGGTTTGAGAGCAAATCACTTGGGATAAAAACACCTTCTGGATAAATGGACCATTTTCTCTGGTGTTCTGGGATGCTTGGCGGTGGGCTTACATGCCCATTTCTGTCCATCACTAGAGTTCCTGCTTCCTGCATTGGGGTAGTACACGCGTCACAGCATCGCCGAAAATGGCTGACTTCTCTCTCTCCCCAGCTGGAGATGCAGTCTCGCCTGACCCGAGTCCACTCCCTGTCCCTGTCCTCCGATTCCACAGAGGAGTCTTTCCGGACCGTGAACCAGGTGCGTCTCCCGCGATCCTGCTCTTCCCTGTTCCATTTCTCCGTCCCCCTTCTTTTTCCTCTTTATCCGACTGGTCTCTTCATGCCCTCTGATCTCTTTCTCCAGCCGCCCCCGTCCGTGGCGGGTCAGAGGATGTCCGTCGCCAGCACGCCCTCCATCTCCGAGTCCTGCGCCGAGTACTTTGACGCCAGCGACGTCGTCGTGTGCGGCAGCTCCTCGGAGAACGAGGCCTCGGACGACTCCTGCCTGAGCGACGTCACCACCAGCAACTCGGATCCCGAGGAAGGCCACAGTACGTCCCCGACGGGAACTGGGCTGAGAGACTGAGGCGGGAGCTGGTTCCCAAAGCACACTTGCTTCTCTTCACTTTGCTATGAGCTCATCTCGGCTCAGCTCCCGTTAGTGTTGACGGGAGCTTGGCCAGCGAGCTGATCCCACAGCCTCTGAGGTGCTTGGTCATCGTCCGAGCCCTTGAGCAGTGAAGTAGATTTGGAGTCATCCACTGCATGCTCCCCATCTCTGGCTCCAGCACCAAGCAAGATCGCTAGGCTGGTGGAGAAGGGGCTTCTCATCTCTAAAGTCTTCGGCTCTTCTCTCTGCAGTCACTCGGAACTACAGAGCCAGCCTCTCCGGCGCCAGCGTTGTGGCCACCAAGTTTGCCGCCAAAGTCGCCGGCCGCCGTACCTCCTTGCCCGCTCCCTGTCCCAGCAACAGCCATGTGGGCCTGTGGAACATCCTGTACAACAACATCGGGAAGGACCTGTCGCGGGTGTCCATGCCGGTGGTGCTGAACGAGCCGCTGTGCTTCCTGCAGCGGCTGTGCGAGGAGCTGGAGTACAGCGAGCTGCTGGACACGGCCAACCGCACCGACGACCCCTATGAGAGGATGGCAAGTGTCCCTTTTTCCAGAAGCGCTCTGCTGGGGAGAGGGTGGGGGACCCCAGCTTTCTGGTCACCCGTCTGGCTCCATACAACGTCTACAAAAAGCCTATCCCACACTCTTAAGAAAAAGTGGGATAATCTGACACAGTGGTGTAGACCCCTTCCCTCCTTTGAAGTCCTGCAAAAATGCCGGGAAAACGGTCCGGGGGGCAAAACCCAAAACCCAACAAAACCCTTCCTCCGGAACTGAAAAAACCCCCCGCCCGAAGGAAGGAAAGAACAACCTGCCAACGGAACGAAGGAACAAAAAACGCCAAGAAGGTTCCAACCGAAGGCCGGTGCAAATAGTACTGAGGCGTCCTAGTCGAGCACTGGTGCTCTAGGGTTTCCACTGCATTGAGGTGAACAAGCACATGCTGCAGTACCTCTGCATTCAGAAGGCCGAGCAATAAGCCTTTCCAACCCCACACAACCACCTGGTTTGAGAATGCATATTGCAGCAGTTATCGCCTTACGTTGCAGGGTTGTTCTTTGTTTCCAGACCACTCCCAGCAGGTCTGCCCTAGTAAGAGTTGAGAGAAATGTGGTGATGTTCCCTTTTTGTGATTATCTCTGAGCACTGTCCGTCCCGTTCGCAGGTGTACGTTGCGGCCTTCGCCATCTCGGCCTATTTCTTCGGTCGCCACCGCAACCGCTACAAGCCCTTCAACCCCGTCCTGGGCGAGACGTACGAGTGCGTCCGTGACGACAAGGGCTTCCGCTACGTCAGCGAGCAGGTACGGTGCCGCCTCCCACTGTCCCGGTCAAAACGGGGGTTCCTGTTAATATGAGCTGCCAAGACGGGCGCGTCCTGTGATGGGCAGGAAACTGTAAGCCATAGCGACTCTGGGATTGCCTGACCTTGCTTTGTGCAGGGCCTGATGTAGATGCTCAGGGAGCAAGCTTGTAGTGATTCAGCAGTGGAAGTCAGGGATGGGTAGAATTTGAGGTATAAGATTCATTGCAGTCGCACTTGTTTCTGTCCCTCGATGTGCGTAACACTAAAGCAGGGGCCTGCAGCCTCACTGTCTGTTCTTCCGAGATGATCCTTGACCTTCTCTCACCTCCCGTCTTTTGTCCACCCCAGGTCAGTCACCATCCTCCCATCTCTGCCTGCCATGCCGAGTCTGAGAACTTCACTTTCTGGCAGGGTACGTATTCTCTCAGTCTGACCTTCAATCCGAGTTCCACCCGGCCCCGGACGGGCCAAGACTCCCAAGAAGGGTCGTTTTAAGTGCACCTCGTCTCTTTCTCTCCGCCTCTCTGCAGATCAGCGATGGAAGAACAAGTTCTGGGGCAAATCGGTGGAAGTCATTCCTGTGGGAATGGTGAACGTGACGCTCCCAAGGTGAGTGAGTGGTGAAGTGCTTTTAAAACCAAGCACAGGCGGAACAAGCCTTGTGGTTGAAGCCGATATCCCGACTTCTTTCATAAAACAGCTGCATAAAACCCTGGGATCAATTGCATCCTGATTACCCAACAAGTAACAGGATTACAACAAGGGTTGGGTGGCCTTTGCTTCCCCATTCGTGTTTTGAGCTTAACTTCATTCCAGCCTCCATGTGTTACCAGAGTCCGTCTTGCCCACAGGTATGGCGACCATTACGAGTGGAACAAGGTGACGACCTGCATCCACAACATCCTGAGCCAGCAGCGCTGGCTGGAGCACTACGGGGAGATCCTCATCCGCAACACGCAGAGCAACGTCTGCACCTGCAAGATCACCTTCGTCAAGGTGAGGCCTCTCTCTGCAGGGTCACCGCGGAGAAGACCCAGCTTGAGCTTCGTTTGGGCCTGGAGGGGGAGTTTACAGCTGCTTTTTTGTGTTGTGGAGGGGGGATCCTTTTAATATGGTAGGGTCCATTTGTAATACCCGAGTTATAAATTCCTCGAAGAACGTTAAATGATAAATCGTTATGTGCTTGTTGGATTCAACCCCAGCTGTTAATAGACAGTTGTAGCAGTTCTTCGGGTTTCAGCAGGTGCAGCAGTATTTATAGGGTCTTCTTTAAAGCTGGTTTCCCTTAGGGAAAGGGGTAAGGCCAGGGTTTTCTAGCATGTCAATGCAATGCAGTGGATTTGGTATGAACTGGTCCCTCCTTCCCTCCCTTCCCCCCACCAGTCACGTTACTGGAGCCCCGAGATCAACGAGGTGCAGGGCAGCGTGCTGGACGCGGCTGGCAACGTCGTCCACCGCTTCGGCGGGCTCTGGCACGAGGGCATCATCTGCGACACCCTGCCCACGCCCCAGTGCGTCTGGAAGCCATGTGAGTGTAGCGTCCGTCTGCCGTCTTCGGCTCGTCGCCCCCGGTTCCGGCTGGAGATCTGCTTTTCAGATTTGATTTGGTTTGATAGTAAGCGTGTTGCACATTTCCCAGCAGCTGGTAAGCCAGTAGGTAAAAGCTCCCATGGAATGATGACACCCCAAGGCACACCAGAAGACCGTTTTTTTTGCTATGTGAAGGGTGCACATATGCGCTTGATCAGTCACTGCATTTGCCTTGCATTTAAGTAAGAGGCAGCAGTGTTCAAATATGATACCACAGTGCAATACTGCTGCATATCCTGCAACATCCCACTTCAGTTTTTCACCTGTATGTGGTGAGGCAGGTGCATGTCTGATCACCATTCCTTTTATTCTTCTGTACCCAACAGACCCTGTGCCTGCAGACTACTTCCAGTGTTACGGTTTTTCCCAGTATGCACGGGAGCTGAATGAGCTGACCCCAGATCTTAGACCACTACTGCCCCCTACTGACACTCGTTTTCGGCCTGACCAGAGGTGAGAGACTATGCTCTGTGGGTGGCAGGACGGCGATCTGTGTTTGTTTGGGCCTGCATGAGACAGTGGAAGAAGGAGGGTTCAGTCTGCACCTTCAAGTAGAGCAAACCCTGGCGTGTGTGCATGCGTGTCGCTCTCTCATGCTGTTGCCGGTCCGTCTCGCAGGCTGCTGGAAGAGGGCAAGGTGGACGAGGCCGAGAAGAAGAAGGACCAGGTGGAGCAGGTGCAGAGGGACCGGAGGAAGGTGATGGAGAAGAGGGGAGAGGCTCACATCCCACGCTTCTTCAGGTTAGTCTTTATTTTCTTACGCCCTCAACCCTCCCAACTTGAAAGGGGTCTGGGATGGGGTCCGTGTTCTTCTGTGGTCACCGCCGGTCCCGTTCGGCTGCACCTCTGCAAGCGGAAGAGAATTCCTGTCACCGAAGTGCAAGGTCTGATCCCATAGGTCAGGAGACAGGAAGTGAGACCGGGGCCATGCACATGTGACTCGGGACTTGGCACGAGGTTAAACGTGTTACGGGTAGATCACCACTGCAGAGGCACCTTCAGTTTTAAGACTGTTGCCCTCTGTGTTGGTTAAGGAAAAGCCTCTGGTCCTGGATATTCCCCTGCGGAGGGAAAATGATCACAATCTTGAAATAAATGTCAAGGTTTAGAATTACGGGGTTTAACAGAGTAGGAATGAGGAAAGACACTGTTCCTGGAGGCAGCTGTCCGTTTGCTTAAATGATTGCTTTTTAAACCATGCAGGGAATATAGGTGGAATGTAAAATGCCCAATTCTGGTCAGTTCATGTAGATGTCAAATATGGGGGCCTGGGACTCCAGGCTGACTTCCTCCCCAGGCCAGTGTGGAACAGCCCCACTTCAACCCTGAGGGATTGTGGGATGTCCCACAACTTCTTAAGCCTTCTTTCCCTTCATGCAGGAAGTCGGTGGACAGCAGCGGGAAGGAGGTCTGGATAAGCAATGGAACGTACTGGAAAATCCGTCAGGAGCCTGGGTTCGCGCACACGGACAATCTGGACCTGTGGTGAAACAAGCCGCCGGCAGGGAGCGGTCCAGACTGAACCCCGGACCACTTGAGGGCCCTGCAGAGACCCTTGTATTATAGGAATATTTAAAAAAGAATCACATTTGTAAGGATGTGGCTTTCCTTGTGTAGAAATAGTCTTTTTTTTGGGGGGGGAGGGGTTAAGGAATCAGATTTTCTCCTGCTGCACTGATGAAGAGCTCTGGACCTCCTCGGAGCAGGAAGAGTGCGACCCTGTCCTACCTCCCCGCTCCTTTCCCGGGGGAGAAATGAAAGATCCTCTTGGTTCTTGGATCTTCCCGGATTTTCCCCTCCAACATCTGCCTTTCTGATGCTGCTCAGGTGCCGACATCGGACAAGGAGAAATTCCCATGATGCCCGAGCCAGGCGCGCCACTCGGCGATCTTGAGCAGAGCAGGGTGTCTCGGGATTTGGGGGGTGTGGGAGATGTGGGGGGGGCCCGTTTCTCATGGCTCAAGTCATCTGCCAACTGCCCTAGCTATTCCAGCCATGATGGTGCATTGATAAGACAAACTGGACATGTCTGTACCTTTTAAAAAGCAATTTTAGTAGGGTTTTTACATAGGGAGCGTTTTAAGATTACTGGTAGCAACGCCTTTTGAGT